AGAAAATTTTGCATTGCAGAGTTCATTGCAAAGGTCTGTTGCTATAAGTAGTAATAATATTAGTTAAGGAGGGGTTAGGAATCTTGCCTGAAAAGACAAAGTAGATAAGGTAACTGCTGCATTTAGGTATAGTGATAATCCAGCATAGTTTCCGCTTGTTTCCTTGTGTGTTTCAACGCAAGGAAAAAGTGACTTCTGTGTCTTTGTTGAAATGGTAAAGTCCCAGGTGTTTTTCCCAGGTATTTAGAAGTACATACCAATACATAATAAACAAGAGGAGCAGAAGTGCAGTAAAAACATTGTAAATTCTGTTAAAGATTAAATCAGTCTGAAAGAGTTGACAGAATAAGGAAAAAATCTACTTTGCGTAATGATGTAAATACTAAGAGATACTCTTGTGTGTATAACAGAAACAGAAAAGGTGACTTCATAACAATTTCCCCTGGGTTTTTTTTCATTTCATGGGTTTAAAAAAAAAAGAATCAAGTTGACGATCTAGGTAATTTTTAAAAGATGTACTGTATTACAAATGTCAGAAATTATTCCATTCCATATACAGGGTGGGGGGAGCTCCTTGCCCTAGTTGGTTCAATTAATAATGAACATTAATGAATTACATTGTTTATGGGATTTTTTTATCTTGTACTTGAGCAGGCAGGTGGAAACAGTCTAGCTGTATTTTACTGACAAATTTCTCTGGGTATACAGTATGACTGTTATGAAGGTACAATTAGATAAGTGAATTGTTTTTCTATAATATATATATATTAGATAAGTGAATTGTTTTTCTATACTATATTGTCTGCTATTTTCATGTATGATCTTATACCAGATAAGCATTATTTACCTGCTTTCCTGGAATAGCAGATTGTGTTTCTTTGTACAGGGGATGTTAAGTGAGTTAAGCACATGAGCTGTTAGCCCATTTGCTTAGGGAAGCTGGTGTTGAGACAAGGAGGTTATGGCAGGGTACGGAGCAGTCTGGAGGAGAAATACCGTGGATGTGACCATTCTGCTAGAAGAACTGAATTGAAATGGGGACACTACTGTTAATTCATGTGTAATTACATTACTTTGTTGTTAAAAAATTAAATCCTGGGCAAGAGGAAAGTTTGAGCCTGGAACTGTGTTTTGAAGTAAATTTGAGCTGATGCCTTTCCAAAAAACCTTTGGAGATTGCCAGGACGTAGTCACCGGGAGGTAGTTACCTGATGGACAGACTATGTTCTGTTATCATCTAACTTTTTTTTAAGTTTATCAGCATCTTTCATCATGCAGGTTATTTATAAAATATCACCTACTACAAAGTTTTGCTTCTCTTCCTCTCTTCTCTCCACTAAACCACAGTTTGAGGGAAGGATTCACCATGGACAGTTTTTTCATGTGCAACCTCCGGGTCAGCCATCCCTGTTCTTTGAGGCTGGCATTTAAATCTGCACAAAAATCTTGGCAGTTCATTGTGCTTCATGTGCTCACTACCATAGGACCAGAGGCCCCAAAGCCCTCCTTGCGGAAGTAATTCTGCAGGAATCTCAGCAGGGATACGGGTTGCAAGGCCTTTGCACCTTGAGATTTGTACCTTAAAAAATTGTGCATGTGTTCTTTGCAACATGGGAGCATCCTGCAGCACTTCCCCCGGTAAAGTATGCTTTTAAATGCTTTTATGTTTCACATAATGATTGTTCTTCCAACATCTCTGCCTCCCCGCTGCCCCCATGTTGTTTTTAACTGCATTTTTTTAATGGTAGGAATTCCCTTTCACTAGGAACTGTGGAATTATTGCATCTGAAGAGTACTCCTCTTTTTGCTCTTCTCCATCAGTGTGCCAGTCTGATGCATCTATTTTGGATGTCAGTTGTTCATATTTCTACCCCAGGCTGTAAGTTCATCTTTTCACAGGAGTATCAGTTCAGGCGTTTTCTCAGCTGCTTGTTTCTCTGGTGCTTGTCCCTCCCTTGTCCCCCGTTGTACTGGTATGTACTTCAAAATACTGGACTTTGTCATTTCAGCTGAGAGGGCACACAGGTATGGTGCCCGAGTCTGGCATCCTTCGTACAGGCCATAACATGCAAAACTGATTGTGTTAGCTTTTGCTGTGTTTGCAGACAAATGAAGCTTAATATTTCTGTCCAGGCTCCAAATTACCTATGAGATTCTTTATTTAATCATTTCAATCTGCGTTGCTCGTGGCTTTTCAACCTCTATTAGGCTTCCTGTCAGAGGGTGCTGGCACCACAGAACAGCAAGGTTCGCTGGCTGGCTGGCTGGCTCTGTACTTTATTGTGTGTTGTCTTTATTGTATTTGTGGGATTTATCATTATTTCACTATAAATCTTCACAATATTTTTGTGAAGAACACATTCTGTGTTAACCCTGAAAAGTTACAAAATTGGGTTAAGAATTAAAAGGCTTTCAAAGCATCCTTGTCCTGAAACAACTCTGCAGGGCATGAATAAGTTACGAATGGATTGTTTTTCAGTCAAAATGAATTGGCTGACATGAGCTTCCCTGTGAAAAATCTAGTTGAGTTTTTACAGATACCTGTTATATTTCTCCCCTCTTAAGTTATACAAGAATTTAGATTACCTTAAATCAGTGATCATAGGCTGAATCGACCTCTGAAATTATAGATCTTCTTGAACCTTGTGTGAAGATCAAAAGGTATGGGATTCTGTGTTAGAGAGGATGTATTTTGTCTGTGTTTTTACAGTATACGTTTAGCATGACACTGGCTTGATTAGATGATTTCCTGAAGCCACAATTTAGTTCTTCAGGGTCCGACTATGTAATTTTTTAAAAAATACACTGTGCAGTAAGAAGCCGTACTGGTATTTATGGTTGTTGATTCACAATAATTCCAGACTAGATAGAGGTGGATATTTAAAGAAGATATCAGCTGATTGAAGATTTTGAGGAAACACTGCTTGCAGTTTCATTTTTAAAATATTTTTTTCTTTCTCTTATATGTCAGTCCATGTTAAATATGTGTATAAAGTTATTATTGTCATGTCTGTTATAATTACACCTTGTACAGACATGAGGTTATAGTTTTTGTAATAAATACCTCCAGTATAAGTTGTACTGTGGCATAATTAACCTCGTTACTTTCAGTATAAGTTTTCTGGAAGGACCATAAATAAATAGGTGGTCTTAAGTAGCTTTTCTTTTTCCCCAATGTGACCTTAATTTATGGGATAATAGGATTTTTTTTTAACTTCCTTAGAAAACACTCGCTTTAGAGGTGAAAAACTTTGCATTTTGCATCTGATAATTACAGAGCCTCAAATCTGCTCAGATTAGACTAATTTGGTCTTCCCGTTTGATGTCTTTCACATTACATGCTAAATGTCATCAGTCAGCTTTCTTGCCTCTCTTTCATCAGTGTAGTGGTTTATTCCTACCCGGTGGCATATAAGGAGGTGGCTGAAGGAGCTCCATTGAATGCTCTTGCAGGAGTTTGGCCTTATATTCTGAGTGGTGTTCTCTCTTTAACATCTGGCAAGTGCGTAATTTTAAAGTTGAGTGTTTTCACTGGGGTGTTGAGCATTCCCTTACATGGTTTTTTGTAAATCTGTTATTTTTCATCAGCGGGAAGCATAGAAGTGCTGGGAGCTAAGTGCTGGCCTTCAGCCTGCTTAGCTGTGAATGAACCCCATGTGCCAAATTTTTAGGATGTGCCCTGCCATGTGGTTGATGAAGTCTATTTGCTGTGGTCACTGGGATAGCTGCTTCCAGGACTTCCCTATTGAGAGACTTGCAAACAAGCTGGGAAGGGCAGTGGGGAAAACTGACAGCTGTGAGGTCAATCCTGCAGCTTTGGCAGTTAGTGCGTGAAAAGGTCCTACAGTAGCATTAGTGATGATGCTTTGATTTAATCTTGAATACCTCTAAAATGTTATGTATTATTAAATCAATAGCGGTGATGTTTATTAATGGTACCGCTATGGGAAGGTAACGAGACACCTTTAGAGTGCTCTGGTAGAAGTGTTTCAGGATCTCGTGCTATTATTTCTGAAGGAGCACGGTAACAGAACATTGGGAGGTCTCGGGAGAAATTAGGCAAGATAATGTGATTGCTGAAAAATTAACACAAGTCACAGCTGTATCATAAAAGCTTTAAAAAGTTTTTTTTTTTCAAACCGTATAAAGTAAAGAGAAAAAAAGCGACTCCCCAGGCAGGGCTGAAATAGATGCATTGTATCTGCTGAGGCTTAGTCCTGTAGTATTTGACATAATTTGAAAGTTGAAGTTACTTTAAAATTTATAGTTGTTTCTAAAAAATTCTTGAAAAACAACTTCAGATTCTGTTTCCTGAAAGTGCAAGAGTTCCGCTACGTACAGTAGGTTTCCTTGTTTTCATGTGTTAATTCTGGTATTCTAAAAGCGTGCAAATGGCATTTGTCTTTGGATTTACAAAAACTCTAGATATTCAGAGTTTGAATTATTTAAACTCCCACAACACATGCACTTTTGCTTTTCAAGCTTGAGTTATAATTTAATTAAAAACTTCTGGTGCATCGCTAGCTATTTAAATATTAAAATGTTCCATGGATCACTTTCGATTATCTACCGTCATGAAATTCCTGAAGATGTCAGATTTTTAAGATTCCCAAAGTTGCACTTGGAATTGTCTGTTGATGCAAAGGGGACTGTGATAATTACATACATCCATTAGTATCAGCAGAGGAGATAAACTTTGGGGAGGCTTAATGGGCATGTCTCAGTGACAGCTAGCAAAGAACATTTGGCATGATTAAGGATGGATTTGAATGTACTTGAAAATATACTCTCATTATGGACGCCCAGTGGAAGTTGCACTACAAATGTTAAATTCCCCAGAAGAAGAGTTGTGTGGCAGGGAAGCTTTGAAATCCACTGTGGCCGTCATCCAAATTACTCTCTTCTCTTTGTGTCTTTCCGCTGTCAGATTCACTTTGTGATGCCCAACTTGGCTCCCTGCATCTTTGAAAAGAGCCAACTTGTTGGTTTCTGTGTTTCAGATTGTCCGAAGATACATCAAGGACTGGCTTGAAAGGAAGAAGCCTCCATTTGGTGCTATCAGCAGCTGTGTGCTCCTGATGATCATCTACACAACATTCTGTGATACTTTTGCCAATCCAAATATTGACCTTGATAAATTTAGCTTGATTATAATAGTGTTCATAAGTAAGTTCAACCTTAAAGCATCTCTCTTATCTGTGTTTCAGGTGTGTAATGAGCTATATGTACTGGAAGGGGTGGGGCTGCGGGGATACTGGCATGGGGCTAGAGCTTGTACTTCTAATGCGTCTAGTAAACCAGATTACCAGACTTCTTAGGGGCTGGATGCTTTTAGGGGACTGCGTAAGCATTTAGAGAGGGATGAACCCTGCTATTTAGGTGTGCCTGAGATTGCTCAGTGGCCCTCCCTTTCTAAAGGGGCACAATACTACTTTCCAAGTGTTTCCGACCATTCTGTTTGGCTTCTTTGTTATTAAACAACCATAAATGCACAGATGTTGCACTCCAGGCTGAAAGGAAAGATTTGGTTTGAGCTGTTACTCAAAAGCACTGTTAAAACTTTTAAATAGTTCTTCCTTACCCTATTATAAACCTAGAAACTAGTTGGGAGTTTGAATGTGTTGATACATTTCTGTGGATGAACACATTTCTTGCAGAGTTTGTTTATGGAAGCACTCTAGTCATTCAGCCTTAAATAACATACACATGAGAACAGGCTGCTGGTATCCTTGCCATCAGTTAAAAATACACTTGCAGATCGCTACCTCCCAGGGAAAGGCAGTGGTATGCAGGCACTGTCTCCTCTCCCAGTAGGGAATTCCTGTCTTGCTTCAGACTGTCCAGAGACAGGAATTTCAATTTGCTTAGGGGAGAGGTAACTACAGTATACTACAGTATAAATCACATCTCATACACTCTAAAACTGTTAAGATTTCAAGAAATCAATGCATCACCTACCTTGAACTGTGTGTATGTGCACGTTTCTGTCTAATAAAAATAATCTATCTTCTATAAATCCAGCCTCCACTAAAGTCAATAGGAAATTTGCCCCTGCCCTTTGTGGGTCAGTTCTTATTCTATCCTAATTGTGGCAGTTTTCTGGATTATGAAACACTATATGTGTGTAAAATACTACATGGAATTATAAACGGTACTGTATAAATATTCTGAAAGCAAAGAAGGAGGAAGCTATGCTAAGGAGCTTTTTTTTCAAAATGGAGGAAATACTTGTTTGCATAGGCATCTGAAGAGGACCACATCCCAGATGCACTTAAATCCGTGCAGAGCTGTCAGCAAAGACGAGGGATATGGCAGTTTTCAACTCTGACTTAACATGCAGAGAAACTCAGAATGAAGTGATTTTATGTTAATGTGCTGACCGCTACTTTGAAAAAAAAGTTCTTCTGTAGTTAAAAAGGCACATTCTTCCTCGAACAGTTGCTGTAGAGTGGTTACTTCCATTGTCTTTCTTGTCCTTTCTTTTATTTCTCCGCAAGACAACTCTGCATTTGTGCCATGTGTAATTATATATACCACTTGCAGTGCGATACGCTGAAAATCATTGTATGTACATTTTCACTGCCAGTGTGCATAACTGGAGTTTCTTAGTGAGACTATTAACATGAACATTAAAACTGCTTGGAACATATTAGACATTTGTTTCTTTCTAAAATATTTATAAAACCAAAAAACAAGGAAGTTGTGGAGATGGATATGTACATTGTATTCTAGAAAAAGTTTCTGTAATGTTATTGGATGTGTTGGCTGGATGTGTGTGTTGTGTTGTATCAGGATGTGACATTAGCATGAGGAGTTTGAGATGAAACTGCATTTATTTTTCTGCTGATTAATGTTTTCATGTAATTTTTATGTTAATATTCTAGCCACAGCAAAATATGCACAAGGGATAATTGATAGCAACACATGCTCATTGCTTTACAGAATTATACGTATTAAGGTGTTTTTTTTCTGTGCATGTTAATGTACTTAGTTGCAGAAAAATTGTGATTCAGGAACAATGGATTGCTTCCTTTAGTTCTTGAAGGAAGAATTAAGTGCATGCTGAGGTGACATTTATACATCCTAGGAAAGGTGTGTAAGAGAATGGAGAATGTCACTGGTAATAGCTAATACCCCTGCCATGTTGCCCAGTTGTAAACTGGGGTCAAAATCAAATGTATTGTCTTGGCTTGCACTACCCTATGGGACACATTAGCCTTATTGCATTCACAAGTTTTGCAAGTAAAAGGGAGAGGACCTACCCCAGATTCTGCTGCAAGTAAAAGCCCTTCCCCCTATAACCCAGAAACCCCCCACAAGGTCTTTGCAGGTCACAGCGTTTCTCCTCCAGCTCTGTGGGGAGTTCCTGTGCTCCGGCACAACGCTCGGTCTCTGCAGTCCCAGCAGCTATTCACGGCACAACAGGGAAGCTGCCTGCTTCTCCCCAGTCTCGGCAGACCAAGGGTGGGCTCTGCATCCCACAACCCCTGCGGGTGTCAGGAGAGCTGGCAGAGAGGAGCAGGATGCTCAAAAGCCATCCACACTTACAAAGCTGACTGAGCTTGAATGAAAGCTGCTTTGTCTGATGTACCCTGCCCAGTTCAGGAATAAGCCTTTGTCTCGGAGGGAATTAAAACATCTGTGATGATCTTCTCTTAATAGTGATCATTTATTAGGAGAGTAATATACCTAGAGTGTGAGAATGTTTATTGTGATCATGCTTACACATTATACTTTCTCCTTTTAAATAGAAAGCAGCTAAATTTAAATACATGGCAACCAGAGCATGTCTGAGAGATTTTGTGTTGTCAACCCAATAAGCAAAACTAGTGCAAACAGATGTGCAGCATGCAGTAGTGAACTTTCCTGTCATTCATTGTGTCAAGAAATACTTGATTCAGAAGAGTTTACCTTGGGAAGAACTTGTGTAGCCACAATATTAGCCCTAGCTTTCTTGGGTGTAATGATCCGTATTGTTCTTCCAGGCAGTCTTTAAAGGTTGTCTGTCATTGGATTTCTCTGGATAGACTTGGTCCAGCCTAGCTTGTGACCTGTTGTATGGGGACAAAAGGCGTGTACACAAGCAATTGCAGAGACTGAAGTGATCTTTACTTCTGTGATCCAAGTCTAATTTTAACTTGTTTCTTTTTCAGTATTTTCTGTTCAGATGAGCTTCATGTTTTTGACTTTCCTCTTCTCTACAAGGTAATTGAATGTGCTTGAATGTGCTGAATCAGAACCTTTGAATATTTGTTTTGCATGGTATCTTTGATTTGGGTGATACAGTTTATGCAAATGTGTAAGGGCAGGTTTCTGAATAGGGGTGACCTCATTTTGGTGTTTCATATTGTCCTTACTGCATTTTCTCTGCTAGAGCTTCATAGGCTAAGAGAGCAGGACCTGAATTCTGTCCTTTCTTGTGTGTTAATTACAGAGTTGTTAAATCTCAATCAATCACTGCTATACCTCATCCACTGAAAAAAATGGATTTGCACAGATGTCACTGAAGGTATAATTTGCCCTGCAGACATGCTGATGACATATGAGAGAGAGAACTCAGTTTGACTTTTTACATCTCAAGATACATTTGCTGGGCTGGCAATTCACTCTTCTCTGTATATGTCAAATGTGTTACGTTTATATGGTGATTCTTAAAAGACAGTTGTCCTGAATTAATGTTTGGTAGAGCTATTTTTTTTCACTTTAAATATCAACCATGAAGAACAGTTGTACATTCACGTCTCAAAAAATAGTACCATGAAAATGGTGTTAGCCAATGGCTTAGTGCATCACTTGAGCTGGTCAGAGTATCCACCATTGTCCTCTCACTTAGGCTTACTGGAGTATTTGTCTTAGAAGCACTCTGCTGAATGGGAAGTGCCACAATACAGCAGACTCCAGACATATGCTTTATATAAATTATACAATATCCATAAGGGAGAATCACAAAGAAGGGTGCAATGTCTTAGAGCTACTTATGCTTTTTTGGTGCCACAAGAAAATTTCTCTGTGACAAGATCATGCCCTGACCTTAGAAGGCATTTTAAAATAACTTTTGAAATGCTAGACCTAACCTGGGTAGAAGATATGTCCCAACTGTAAAATCTAAAATGCCATAAGTAGTAACCAACTCAGACAGTATGGTAAATATTTAGAATCTCATAAAATGATTCCTAATTTGGACCAAAGGGTGATCCATTTGCCAGTCATACACCTTTCTCTGTATGTCATTTTTCCACCCTTCCTGGCCTTACTCCCAGCATGTAAACCCTTAGATGCAGTTTTTCTCTGAAGTGGAAGATAACTACATATTATAAGTAGTGCTTATAGTGTAGACTCAATATACTGTCCAAATTGAGCAGTTTGTTAACATTACATATTAGGAAAAGAAATCGTAGGTCATTGTCTTTTTTTTTTTTTTACGGAGGCAAGCTGGCCACTGCTGTGATATAGCATGTTTGCAAAACCAACCTTGGCTGGAATAAAGTTGTGTCCTACATACCATGTGTTCAGAATTCCTCTCCTTCACACAGAAGCATACTCATTAGAGAGTTTGCCACAACTGAGAAACAATTCTGCTTTCAAAAAAAAAAAAAAAAAAAAAAATCAAACACTACTGTTCATTTGTGGGTAGAATTATTTTTGTCACTAGACCTGATCAAAGTGATGTGAATGTGCATATGGATCCTCAAAGTAATGTATTTGCTTGATGATGTTTTAAGGTTTTTGCTATCAGAGGTTATTAAAACTCTTTCTTTTCTAGGAATAACTCTAGTTTCACACCAGCAGACACAGTGGCTATCATTTTCTGTTCCACACACAAATCCCTCACCCTGGGTAAGTCAGGAGACAAGCTTTTAAGCAAAACAACAGTAACATTCATACCTTGCTGTGCTGAAAAAAAAATGATGTTGGTTGCTGGCTTTTCTGCTTAAATGGTTTTGGTTTCAGTGTGACAAGTAATGCTACCAGTATGATACTAATAGTAGGATAATATTCTTGCACAGATAAAATAAATGCCTACTACAGGGCAGACAACATAGTCTTCTCAGCTGAGATTGTAGTGGTTATACAGTAAGACCACCTTATTTATGGAAAGCTGGATTTTTCTTTCTGTTCTTATTCTGTTCTGTTGCCTAATCCAGTATTGATAAAATTTCACGTTTGTTACTGAAAACATTGTAAGGTATATCTGCCCAGTCTCACAGTAAAATCTTACACCTAAAAGCTGGGAAGTACAAGTGAAAATCAAAGCATGTAGTATATTCAGAAATCACAAATAGACAACACTGTCTTTTGCTTAACATGGGCAAAATGTATGTGTTTATTTTAAGTCTGCAGATATTTTGGATAGTTTTATTTATTAGAATTCATTTATCAGAACATCATTGAGATATTTGTCCCTTATGACCCCTTAGTGATAATAAGATGTTTTGATGGAAACTCACAAAATACTGCTAAATCAGTGGTGCTTACAGCCACTTGCTACTGCTTTGCCCATTATGTTCAGTCAGTGAAATGACTAGTACTTGAATATTCTTCTTACTGTTTTTCAAAATATGAAAACGTGTTTGATAAAGCATATGTGGCTGAATATATGCCTTTTCAAGACTATCTGTCAAAGAGAAACACAGCTGGTGTCAATAACAAAGGTAAGAACTCAGCCTGAAACAGGGGAAGAACAAGTTGGGACTTAGGTGAGATGTTTTCCAAGTCAGTTTGATATAGCGAAACTCATCTCAGGGTTCTTTGCTTCAGCCAGGCCTGTGCTGCACAACTGTTAGCAAGTGCCCTTGAAAGTCTGTGGGAAGTGAAGGAGTTCCTGGAAGACAAGAAAAAGGCAAACATAATGCCTCTTTTTCACAATGGAAACGAGGAGGGGACGAGGAATTATAGATCAGTGAGTTTAACTTCATTTTGTAGAAAACTACTGAAATAAATTATTTTAACAGTGTAGGAAGAAACAAGGAAATGAATAACAGCCCTGTAGATTTGTCAAATGCATATCATACCAAACTAAGTTAATTTCCTTTCACACAAGGTCCTGCGTGTTGCAGAGAAGTAGCAAAAGTTGTATGGCTTGAGAGCGTTATAGCTTTTGACATTTGCGTGATTTTTTGGGCTCCACAATTCAAAAATTATGTGGACCAACTGGAAAGAGATCAGAGGAGAGTGCCATGAATGATCATAGATCTCAAAAAAGTGACCCCAGAGGAAGGTTGAAACAATTGGGATTGTTGAGAGAAGACAGCTGAAATACAGTAGTGATCTTCAAAAGCATAAAAGGTTGATGCAAAGAAGAAAAAAAGTAACTCTTTCACAGTGGACTTTGAAAAGGGAAGGACTTTGTTACAATGATGATTATTTAAGCTAACAATAAAGAAAACCTGTCTAATGTAAAACAGTTTAGCTTTGGAATGTGTTGCCTATTGATGTCCTGAATCTTCTATCATTGCGGACAAGCCTCAACAGGAATTAGATAGCTAGAGTTGATCCTGCCTTGGAGCAGAACATAGATTAAATGACATTAGGTCTTTTTCAGGCAAATGTTTGATGAAGCTGAAGCTTCAACTAATAAATGAGCTTGTATTCAGGAGGACAGTTACCCTTGTATTTATAGAAAGCAACCCCACACATAAGTCATAACACACTACTGTACTTGCTATTTGAAGGTGCGTATAAACTTAGGACCTAACTGTGATACTACAGAAGAGAAGCTGGTTGTATTTAAGAGCACAGACGTGTAAGTCTCTCCTTCCCTCCTCAGTGAAAATAATTTTATACGTGCTCTGTTATGTACACTGTTCTGCAGCTTGCCATGACACTAAAAAAATAAGCACACAGCCTTTTTTTAATATTTAAGTCCTAGGGGGTCTTGCTGTCACCCAGAAAAAAAATGAGGACTCTTCATTTCTTTTACTTACTCTACCAAGCATCCTTATGCATCCTGTCTTGACCTGCACCCTATGCATACAGCTGAGTCAGTTCACTTTTCTTCTGCTAGTCCGCTCTTCTTTTTATATTTTATTTTCTCCTTTAGAAGAACCTAGTTTGAGGTTCCTAGTTTGCTTGACTTTTTGGCTCACGTTTTCCCAATTCCAAGTTACTGCTCTCATTAGCACAGCCTGATGAGTCAAGTTTTGTATTTTGCAGCTTTCTTTGCCCAAGCACACCAACAAAAATACTTTGGCCACCTTGACGTCAAGGACTCCTACAGCTTCTCCCCAGCCATACACACTTTTGCCCTGCTAATATAGGTGTCTCATGTATGAGTGTGCAAGTTGAAATGAAGCAGGTAGATGGTGGAACGCAGTACTGCAGGACTGTTTCTCAGCTACAGACTGTTCTGTTTGTCAGCTTCAGGACAGGCTGCTTTACCTTCATCCTTGAAGAGGTGGTGTCTCATGGAAAGCAAGTTTGCCTCCTGGGGGGCTAGTCATAAGATGTAATTTGTTCTTAGGCCTTGCACTTCTGCACTACCTTTCCTTATTGTTTAGGGACTGTTTTGGGATCGCTGGGTGGTTGGGACCTGTGCTTCCCTTGCTGAATTCCATCTCTGGGGCTCAGCTTTGTTAAGGTCTCTTTGAGGCTCCCAGGCCTGTCTTGCGTGGGGCCAGCAGTAGCGTGTCCTGAATTGAGCACTATCCCCGATGGGGAAATGCTCTTTCTGGCAGTCCCTGGGAGCCCGTCTTTGGTAAGCCTGAGGGCCCCGCCGCTCTTGCGTGCACCCCTGCACAGCGGGTGCAGTACATAGGCGTGCCTGCTGTGTATCAGTTTCAAGCTGGCTGGTTTTGAGACCGCTGGTATTTTACTCTGTTTGGTATTAGTACCAGGTCCAGATAAGACAGAGCTGCATAAACACACATTTCTACGTAAGTAGGGAGGACTGGGTTTTATAAAGCTGTAGTGTGATGAGGCATGCCCCTGAGCTGGTGATGTAAACAGGAATGTTCAGCAGAACAGCTAGCGTGTATTCCTTCACTGAAGGTGGAAGCAGAGTAGATCTAATTTGTTTTTAAGGGTCAGCCATTTCTGAATGACAGTTAAATCTATCCACAGCACAGTCTTGTCCACCCTGATCTTAGCAGAAACAAGAACAGACATCGGCATTTTGGCCCTTACTCTTTTGTTGTTCTGTCACATTTCTACTTGTCCAGAGGTGTTTACTATAAACCATACAACGAGAAACCTTCTGTTCTCTTGTAGTGGAGGGAGTTTTTCCCTCTCCCTCTGTCATTACAATGCCTGAAAGCACAAACACAGCTCAGGGTCTGGCTTCACATCCGAGGTGGAGCTCTGCTTTGTTTGTCTTCAAGATTCCAGTGGTAGTGTATAAATGACCCCCCAACACTTGTTCTTTCGCTTTGAAACTGATTTCTCTCAGCTTGGCAGGTGAAACTCCAAATAGGTACGTCTGGCCCATTCCCTGGGGAGCTTAGAATGGCACCAACTAAAGTGGGAGAAGAGCTGACAGCTTTAAAGCTTTAGAAGTGGTAATAGGAGAAGCATGAGAAGACTTTTATAAGTCACTTTCTCCCACACCATATTATGAAACCAACTAATTCCCATGCAGTGCATGCTCATGAGGCCAACTGCCACTTCCACTGTTGAATCCATGAATAAGCGCTTGCTCTGCACGGAGATGAGTGCTGTTCCCATATGCTGGGTTTTATTTTGTAGGCAGAACAGTTGACACACTTTTTGTCTCAAAGATCAGAGTGCAGGGCATGTTTGTGTAAGGACAAATTACAGAGGGTAGGTGCCTTTGTGTTTCTTAGTTAGGAACACAAGCCAATATTTCTACATAGAGGTGGGTGCTTTGGCAGTTTTTTGAATACAGTGCGTCACATGTGGAAAAACTAATGTTTATTTGTGTTTCACTTAATGAGTGGAACAGGATATAAACTTACAAGGAGTGAAGATAAAATACGGTATTCACAATGCCCTCTGGCATATTCACCCACACTTTGTTCTCTTTCTCTCCTCCCTACTCACATATATGCACAGTACATGTGAGCACACACATATGCGGACATTTGATGCATGGCTTTTATTAGTGCATTTGCCATTGATTGATTAGTACTTAGTATTAGTACTTCGTCTATTGATTGATTGCAGATGAAGTGACTATTTGACCTTTAATTATGAGCCTTGCTATTGAAAATGACATTGAGCTATGGCTTCACATAATCCATCTGGAAAGCCCGACATGATGCCATTCCCTGGAGTTCATTCAGTGAGAAGAGAAGAGGCCTCAAGGAAGTGCAAAGCTATCAGTACGGCTCATCTAAAAAAATACTGCAGTTGTTGCTTGCACTTACACAAAAGTTGCAGCCACGTATAGAACATTTTATTTTATGTTTTGCAGGGAGTGAATTGCAAGCTAGAAGTTACAGCTCCAAAAGTAAAATGCAGGATTGTCAAAAAAATATTTTCACTTTAATTCTTTGTATTTACTATGTAAAATTATTTTATCAGCAAAAAATGGAGTACTGCTACCTATTTTGGCTACCACAAGTGCAAATGTTTGTACTGTAGGTATGATGAACAGCAGATTGGTAAAAAACCAAAACAAAACAACAAAAATAACCCCACCTTATAATAAAATCAAAGTATTGTTTGTGATGCAGAGTGCATTTTTCCTCATTTGGATTTATCAATGTAGCAGTTCGTTCACCATGGAATTCTTAAAGTAATGCAATCAAAGTTTCTAGGCTACAAAATACTTTCAGGAAAGAATAGAGTTCATTTTGCAAATAAAAGCCAAAGCGCTAGCTTTCTTTTGTATTGTTTTAATTTCAATCAAATTTATTTTTTAAATACTCAGCTTCTTCTTG